ACTCCACACCCGAAAAACAGACAACCCAGTGAAGAAATGGACAGAAGATATGAACAGACATTTCTCCAAAGAGGACATCCAGATGGCCAACAGACACATGAAATGATGTTCAGCATCCCTCCTCATCAGGGAAATACAAATCAAAACCACACTGAGATACCACCTCACGCCAGTCAGAGTGGCTAAAATGAGCAAATCAGAGAACTCTAGACGCTGGTGAGGATGTGGAGAAACGGGCACCCTCCTACACTGTTGGTGGGAATGTAAACTGGTACAGCCCCTCTGGAAAACAGTGTGGAGGTTCCTCAGGAAACTAACAATAGAACTTCCCTATGACCCAGCAATAGCACTGCTAGGAATTTACCCAAGGGATACAGAAATGCTGAGGCATAGGAGCACATGTACCCCAATGTTCATAGCAGCACTCTCCACAATAGCTAAAACATGGAAAGAGCCTAAGTGTCCATCAACGGACAACTGGATCAAGAAGATGTGGTTTATCTATACCATGGAATACTACATGGCAATGAGAAAGAATGAAATCTGGCCATGTGTAGCAACATGGATGGACCTTGAGGGTGTTAATGCTGAGCGAAATAAGTCAGGCAGAGAAGGACAAATATCATATGTTTGCACGTATAGGAGGATTAGGGGGAACTGAACTGAGGACCATGGGGGAGAAGAAGGGGGGAAATGGTGGGGGAAAGGGAGAAAGGCAAACCATGAGATACTCTTGAATGCTTCCAAAAACTGAGGACTGATGGATGGGGGGTTGGGGGGGGAATGGGCATGGAGGAGGGCACTTATGGGGATGAGCACTGGGTGTTATATGGAAACCAATTTGACAATAAACTATTTGTAAAATAAATAAATAAATAAAATAACTTGCCTAAGATCACACTGTTAGTAAAGCAGCAGATTCAGGTTTCAAAACCAGGCAGTTTTGAAAAAGTAAGATCAAGAAACAAAGTCAAATAAGTTTAAAAAAAGAAGTTAAAAAACAATAACTTGGAAAAGATGATATATTTTATCTCAATTCAAAGGATCAATAAACCTTCATTCACCTACGGAATAAATAAAAGTATGTTCTTGATTATTTGAAATTCTAATAATTACAAGCAGTTATTTTCTCTTGTCAAATACCATTGTAAACCTGTATCATTAACATTGTTTTAACAAATATTTCGGCTTTCAACTACAAGAACTTTACAGCATTGTTCTACAGTAAGTGCTTCTTAGCTATGTAAAATAAAAAGGGCTAAAACATTAGTGGTTTTTGTTTTTTAGCAAGAGCACATATCAAAAGAAATACACCATCTCCCAAAATGACAACTCCAGCAAAAGACCATACTACGGAAGCTCTCTACTTTGCTAGTAAATACAGTTTACAATCATAGAGGGACCTTAAAAAAAAAAAAAAAAAAAAAAAAAAAACCAACACACAGCACCCACTCCAGACCAATTAAATCAGGATATCTGGGGGTGGGAATAAGTGTTTTGTTTTGTTTTTTAAAGTTCCCCCAAGTGATTTTAATGTGTAGCCAGGGTTGAGGACCACTGTTCTAAGGAAATCTAAACCCTCTGTTACTACTTCATCCAGAGCTTTTGTCCATAATGGTCTGAAAAAGTATTCAGTCAACTTATTCAACCAATTTCCAAACAACCAGGAGAGTAAAATAAATATGACCCCTCAACTACTAAAAGGGGTGTTAATTATGAGAGTACTTAGCCCAACAGAATAGACAAAAATAAAAGCTAAATGATCCCATTAGTATTTTGGAGCACAGAGTAACTTCAATTAACATCAAATATGCTAATGATCAAGCTACTTTTATCTCTCAAACCCTAGATTTTACCATCTGTGAAATGGTGCCATAATTTCTAATGGACTCAAGAGCCCAATAATTCAAGAGCAACACTGAAACAACCATAAGAAACCCACACGTGTCATCTTCTTGAAAAACTAAAGATTAAACTGAACTTTAATGTATAAATGCTGGCAAAGAACACATTTTCATGCTTTCCTGCTGAAAGTACCCTTGAAAAGTCAAAAAGGCTGTAAGAACTCTGAAATTCAAACTTCTATCTCTACATTTTTATATTTGTCTACTTGTAGTTTCACAGGAAAATGAAATACAGTAAGCTTCAAAATTAAATATTAAAATATGCTGTTGTGTTAATCAAAAATATTACTACAGGTCCATATCCTTTATTTAAAACCCTTGAGGAAGTACATATTTCAGAATTTTTCAGCTTTCAGAAAGACAGTACAGTGTTTCTACCCTTACAAGCCCTTGAGGATGTATAATAGCACCAATCATCAAGCAAATTATTCCAAATTAACATGCCATATCAACATTAACTATTGCTAAGTGAAAAGAATAAAGATCGTAAGTAGCCACCTGTTGATACAAGTCACCAAATTATTTTGCTGCAAACATTTGAAGAAAAACTTCCAGAGCTTTGGGTGAACCTGTAATTCCAAGATTTCTCTTTGATATTCAAGACACTGCAAATTGAACTTCAGGAAAAAAGTCACTATAATGAAAACATCCTTTTAATATCACTGTAGTTCTAGAGAAGCAACTCAATTATGATAGAAATACAAAAATAAAAAATAGTCCAAGTGATGTCCACCAATTTTCAGAATGATTATAACAGCATTTTAAGTATCCACCTTAATTTTCACAGTGCAATTTTGAGCAAGACCAAACAAATACATTAACATGTGCACATTTACTGACTAAGGCAGGCCTGAGGCAGAGAGCCAGATGTAAAGAAGGGGCAAATCAACCCCTTTCTCTCTAGCAACCTGGAGACAACAGAGGACTTTAAAGCTAAGCAGACCAGGATCCGCCACAAAGGAGAAAGTTACTTAAGCTCTCTAAACTCCAGTTTCTTCACAAAGGATAGAGATGATAATAACAGTACCTACTTCATTGTGTTTTCAAGAGGATTAAATAAAGTGACATCCGAAATCCATAATTTACAGTCACTAATAATTCCATACCACTTTTCCAAAGGCCAACTAACTGTTGCTGAAGCAGCTCAAGTATAACTTGCCTGTAAGTTATCAGGCAAATTTTATAATACAAAACCGACCACGAAAACATGACTTTCAAATTTCCAAAGTCCAGTGTAGATTAAAATACCAATTTCTCAAATGAGCAGCTTCTTGAAACACATTCTTAACCAAACCTACCTCTCACAATACCCTTTCATCTTCCACACAACCAGCTGCACACACATAGGGATAATAAGTGAAAATAAACCACTATATTCAAAAGTGCACTTTTAACTCAAAATAAAAATAGATTGGCCTAGGTTTTGCAGATAAAGGAAACCATTACTTTCCTTTATGATGATTATATATATATATATAAGATTAAGACTTCATCATTTATATACAACCACTGTCCAAAGAACCCAGACAATTTAAATACATAGGAAAAGAAGGCACAACAGTCCAAAATCCAATTTTCATAAACCACCCACTGAGTAAGAAATCTGGTAACTTTGGGCAGATTTTGCACCTAAACTTATTTAAACTTACCATCAAATGTACAAAAAGATGGAATCCTTTGCTATTTATCCTAAATTCAACTTATTTCCATTATGTACCTCAAGAATTTTACAGAACATGGAGTGAGTCTTAAAGCATAAAAAGTTCTGAGCGGATTAAATGCTTCACTGTTAACAACTGCTTCCAAATACAGTATATAACGTGGACAACCAAGACTTCCATCACACTGAACTTAAAAGAAAAGGTTTAAACAAGTTAGCATAGCTCCTGTGAAATTCAAAGCTTTCCCTAAATGTTAATACTCAAAAACTACTAGTTACAGTTAAATAACCTATTAGGGCCTGGCAGTTCCATCAGCTTTAAGAATACCAGTTGGCATCTATCCTAGTACAGTGCAACATAAAATCCCTCGAAAAGAATCTCTATTATTCTGTGTTCTAATCCCATGTGCTTAATGTGAAAAGATTCAGAACTAAACCCAAATGGACCAGCTCCCTCAAAACCACCTAAGAGATGAACTACCTACAACACTTAATCCTTCATTCTTGTACTTTTTCCTCCATAAACAGGAAGCTCCAAAGGGAAGGAAACAGAGAACGGCCTATTTTTGTTAAGGGGAATAACGGGCATCGTCTCCAACCCCACAGTGTGAGTGAACAAATGAAAAAGCAACAGGGGGAAAGGGACGGGGGGAGGGGCAGTCGGTGAGCTCAGCCAGGAGTCCTAAACATGCCATCCAGCTCCGACAGTGCCCAAAACATCTGTAACGACAGCTGCAGCAGAGAAACGGGGGTGTGCGGGAAGAGGGCCGTGGCTTGGGGGGCTCAGAGTTGTGCCCGCACGTTCGGCTTCCTCCTTTGCCAACTCTTCTCTCGCCTTCCACTACCCATCCTCCCCAACACATTCAGCTCCCTCCATAAAGAAAAATAACCAATAAAATCACAGGCAGAGAAGACAAAGAGGCAGGAGGAGGCTGCAAGGAGCGTCCAGAACAATGGGGGAGAGGGTGCGAAGCGAAACTCCTGAAAAGGACAATGAAACAGGGGTGGAGAGGAGCCCAGACAGGGACCAGGGAAACACCGCCGAGTCCGGGCCCCGCCAGAGGCGGACGCCTGGACGCGAGGCTCGGCCGGGTGGGCTGTATCACCCGGACGCTGGGGGCTGGGCTGGGCTGGAGCGGGCGGGGGCGGCGCGGCCCACAGGGGCCGCCGGGGCCTGCGCGGGTCCGCAGGCAGCTGCCGGCAGGACTCACCGGCGTTCTGGTCGCGGGGCCAGAGGTAGTATGTGGCCGGGATCACGATGAGCCCCACGAATGAGGTGAGGAAATAGAAGAAGGTGTTCCCGCTGTCATCGTACTGGAACTGCTGTCCCGCCATGGCACCCCCCCCTCCGCCGCTCTGTCCTCACCGCCGCCGCCACGACCCCGCTCTGCGCTCCAGCACCCAGCACCCCGGCCCTGTGTGGCGTAGCTCGGACGCCTCTGCCGCTGCCGCTGCCGCTGCCGCCGCCTCTCCTCCCCGCCCCCACGCTACTCTCACGGACACGCCGCCGCCACCGCCGCTGCCGTCGCCAGCTCTCGCGAGAAGAAATAGTTCCCGCCCCTCTCGGTTTTTCCCTCCCTCTGCCTCTCCCCAGCACACTCGCTAAGGGAGACGTGGCGCGCGCAGCCGAAGAACTCGGCGAGGTCCCGCCCTTGACCCCGCCCCCAAACCAGAAGCCCGCCCCTCGAGCGCTTGTTGGTGCCCCACCTGCCTTCCAGTCGCCGGTCGTGCCCTTTCTCCTGCGCCTCCTTACCCAGCGTCCCACTAGCTGTCTGGAGGTCATTTTAGGGGGTCCCAGCAAACACTCGCGGAGCAGTGAGTGCGTGCGGTTCACATGACTGCCCCTGGAGTCGCAGCTATTTGGAGCAGATCTGAGGCTTCCTTGCCTGTCCCTTCTCCCATCCTTACCTCACCTTGTCTGCCCTCTTGCTTATTTAATTTCCCTGGTTGTTAATAATGTTTCTTTATGTTACAGATCTGTCCCTCCAGTCCCCACATTTTGAAAACACGGGTCATTCAGAATTGGGCAGCGCAGGGGAGTTCGTAGGGGTTTTGTCGTGGTTTATTTGCAAAGTAATGTTTGCTATTAAAAGATTGTGGTTTATGCTGTGCCCATTTTGCAGATGGAGATTCTTCAAGCCGATAGAGATGGTGGCCTACACATCCCAGAGGTAATATTTGAGGACACCAGGTCACCAGTGTTTTCTTCAACCCAGGCTGTAGGCCAACACTTTTATTGCTTTATATCATTTAATCGTCAGTAACCCCCTTGGGAAAAATCAAAGCATGCTCACTCTCCAGATGAGGAAATTGAGGCTTAGAGAGATTGCCCAAAGTCATGCATAGTAAGAAAAGGTCTGGAGATTCAAATTCAGATCACTGGAGGCCACAAAGCCAAATTCCCTTGGCCACTACCTTGTCGTGGACCTTAACATTTTCCAGAGAGCCGCTGGCACTCCTTACAAAGTGTGGGCAGGAATCTGTGTTTCTAGGAGGGATGCCTAGGGAAGCAGTCACTCTCAGGAGACTCTTAACTTGGCTGGCTGTGAGGTCCCAGAGGCCGGAGTCAGCTGTGCTGGGAGTGGAGAGGACTGGTGTCCGGATCTGAAAATGACCCACAGGGTCCCACTGCAGTCCTGGCTGAGGCCTATTCTAGTGTCTCCATTTCTCTTTTGATCCTCCAGGTGGGATCAAAAGGAAAGACCCACCTGACCTACCTCACAGAGTGGTTGTGAAGATTTAAAGGGAATTATAATGAAAATGCTTTACAAAGGAAAAACTACGAAATAACCAAATACCACATACTATATTTTCTTACACTATTTTTTAAAACAAATTTTAAGGGGTGCCTGGGTGGCTCATTGGTTAAGCCTCCCACTCTTGATCCAGGTCTGCTCAGGTCATGATCTCCCAGTTGGTGAGTTCAGCCCCACATCAGGCTCTGCAATGATGAGGAAGAGCCTGCTTGGGATTCTGTCTCTTCTCTCTGCCCTCCTCCTCCCCACCCTCAAAATAAATAAATAAACATTAAAAAAAATTAGTACATTTTAAGACTATAGTCTATTTACTGACTGCCTTTCAATATGTCCTCCATTGTTGGAAGAGAAATCTGGCCACATGTCTTGTATTTTATGTCCTTAAAATTAGCATTTATCATAATCAGTAATGCTTTTCTTCATAATGGATTATGTTCACATGTATTGTCTCTTCCCTTTCAAATGTCCTACCGTTTTGAAAGGAAATTTTTAAAAACCATCTTCTTGGGGCACCTGGGTGGCTCAGTCTGTGAGCAGCCGATTTTGGCTCAGATCATGAACTTGAGGTTCGTGAGTTCAAGCCCCATATCGGGCTCGCTGCTGTCATCTTGTTGGTGCAAAACCCACTTTGGATCCTCTGTCTCCTTCTCTCTCTGCCTGTCCCAGGCTTACGCTTGCTCTCTCTCTCTCAAAAAATAAGTAAAACATTTTAAAAAATCATCTTCCCTACATTTCCCTCCTCACTTTTTTCTATATAAAGTTTTCAAAGACTACACAGGAGGGGGGGGAAATAAAAAAGAAGTGAGGGGAAGAGGATTGAAATATGAAGTGAGCACAGCACTTTGATTTCCCCGAAGCAGATATGCCCAGAGCAATTTGCCTTGCTTCAGAAACAAATTAACCATAAAATTGGCTCAACTGAAGTGAGTAGTTTCCTGAAGTTTCTTTTGTTTATGTTGAATTTGTTATTAAGTCTTTCCAGGTTTTAATAATGCTGAGCTGGTTATTTTTTATTACTCTGATTATACACTTTACTCAGCATTTGTGTAAAGATAATACATCAGTTTTATAACCTTGTGACAATATAAATTATTGATGATAAATATTCCCCTTCCGACTTTTTTCTGCAGGAGTAATCTTTTCACTGCAGCTTTGGGGTCATGAATAAGAATGGCTTGAACAGAACTGAACCAGGAAATAATATTTTGAACAAATCACATTCATTTGCTAAACTCCAGACCAATCTAAAACATGAATTTTTTTTCTCATCAAAGCAGATTAAAGAATGTGAAAGGAGGTATTGGGAAGACATTAGGGCTTGATTATGCTCAACTTCAAAATCATGAAAACAATTTTCAACGAGAAATTGAGGGCTGTGGTTTGTCCTTTAGTATTGAGAATAGGTCTGTATTCTGGGTCCTCTCTTTTCATAATATCCTCTCTTTTTAAAGTTATCCTAGAACTTAATGTTACTGAACATAGATAAACTTGGATCACCAAAATATTCCCCAGAGCAAATCTGAATGATATCCTTAATTAATTATAATTTCTGATTCATTGATGTTTTTAAACTAACCCAATAGTTTCTTTCGAGAGATCATTTTAATGAAATACTTAGTAAGTGAATATGGTAGAACCAGATCTACAAACACATTTTGTCTTAATCTAATAGCACTTTATAAAAGGCATTTTTATATTCTCACTATGTATCTACAAATGAATATTTTAGTCAATTTCATTTCAATTGCTAGGAAGATAATTCCTCTCAAGCATAGAAAGCCTGACTATTTTAGGTTCTTCTTAATAATTTACTTTTTCCTTAGAGCAAATCTTTGCTTCATTCCAAATCCTTCTTGTACTGATGGGGTTGACTTACATTTCTATATACCAAAATACATTTGTGTGGCCATAATCAATATTATTTAATTTTCTGTTTAATGGAATTAGCCTCAACAAGACTGGAAAGAACCAAATTATTAGGTTGGTACATACAATATTTCCAGTCTTTTACTCCCCCCACCCCTCCCCAATAATCTTCACTGACAAAGCCTAGCAATTCATCTTTAATATTAAACCCCTTATTACTTTGTTTCAGAGTTAGGATTTTCTTCCATTAAAAGCTAAATCTTGGGGTGCCTGGGTGGCTCAGTTGGTTAAGCCAACTTCAGCTCAGGTCTTGATCTCATGGTTTGTGAGTCCAATCCCTGCACTGGACTCTGTGCTGACAGCTCAGAGCCTGGAGCCCGCTTCGGATTCTGTCTCCCTCTCTCTCTGCCTCTCCCCCACTCACGCTCTGTCTCTCTCTCAAAAATAAATAAACATTAAAAAAAAACTTTTTTGGGGCGCCTGGGTGGCTTAGTCGGTTGGGCGTCCGACTTTCGCTTGGGTCATGGTCTCGCGGTTCGTGGGTTCGGGCCCCGCGTCGGGCTCTGTGCTGACTGCCGGCTCAGGGCCTGGAGCCTGTTTCGGTCTGTGACTCCCTCTCTCTCTGACCCTTCCCTGCTCACGTTATCTCTCTCTCTCTCTCTCCTAGAAATGGATAGAACATTAAAAAAAAATTAAAAAAAAAAACTTTTAAAAGAGCTAAATCTCTTCTAATACAAATTAACCAATTCTTTTTTATTTGTCCTTAATAGAGATGAAGAGTTACCCCCATAGTAATGACAATAGTAACATCAACAAATTGCTTAATTAGGAAAATAATGAATGACATTGCCTAGGAAGCCATAAAAGAGCACTTAATAAAATTTCCCACCCAGATTGAAATACAGCTTGGAAGAATGGCCATACATAAACAGAAGAGTGCACTATTGGCAATTTCAAAGGTATATATGTGAGTAAGAAGAAAAAAATTCTCATTAGAGATCAGAACTTCAGGAAAAAACATTAAAAATATAAATAATCTTGTTGAAAAACAAGTATTTGTGGGTACTTAAGCATAAAAAATTGGGGGACTCTAGGAAAAAGAATATAAAATTATGATTATAAGACAAAGTTAACCTTTGCTATAGACTTTGGGTGATAATAATGCGTCAATGTAGGTTCATCAGCTGTTACAAAGGTACCACTTTGAGGGGCGATGTTGATAATGGAGGAGGCTATGCATGAGTGGCGGCAGAAATTATATCAGAAATCTCTCTACTTTCCATTCTATTGTGCTGTGAACCTAAATCTGCTCTTAAAAAAATAATAAAGTCTACTAAAAAGAGTTAATATTTATAAAAATTATAATTGCTATAGGTTTGCGTCCTACAAATTGAAGAAATCTGATAAATTCTATTTTGCATGATTTCCATCAGTAGTTTTTTAAACTGTGGTACATTTATAATTGTATACATTGCATATTGAGTGTCTTCCTACTAAGAGACATTTTCCTTTTTGATAAACTCAATGAGAACCCAATCCTCTGCTTACAATTTTAATACCTACTGAGTGGAAGAATTTTTCACAGAGTAGTTCCTGACTCTGTACCTTTCAAGCTATGTTTCTCCACTATCTGTATACTTCAGGTGCCAGGCCTCCTGGGATATATTCATACCCTAAATTAGGATGTGTCATTCTTTTCATGTTATAATACTGAGTGACTTTGCCCAGAGGGTGAAGTAGAAAGAATATTCCTGGAGGTGGTAACAACTATACACAGAAGTACCTCTACACTGCATAAAATTGCCTCCCTAACTCCAAAATGAATGTACCCTCTAACCTCCAAACACA